AGTAACCATAACGCATGCATGGACACCTGGCCGGTGCTGGTCCCAGCCATCTCCCGCACATAATAATCCTGCCAATTAATCAACACACCATCTCTCACAACATCAGCCTCTAGCCATCACAACTGCATCCTTAAAAGCAAGATTCACTTATCTTTCAAAAAACAATGTAAAAGATCCATGCACATTAAAATCATATTTTTATGAAGACATGCATTGCACAGATCAAAATCCAGGAAGGAAAGCACAGCAGTAAAAACACATTTGTCAGGCTGGGGAGATTGTCTGGGGCTTGTTGTTTTTGGTGAATTCAATGCTGTCTTTATGTTGCAAGTCTTTAAAAACATTTTTAAGCAGTGACAACTAAGTAGATAAAATTTGGTTTGGATGCATTCCAGGCAAAATGGTTTTAGAGCATTGAGAATCTGTTTCCAACCTGAAAATGCTACTCAGAAGATAGTCTGCTATGACTTGTTGATCCATTGAAACACCAGCCTCACTTTCTTTCTCCATTCCTTTCCTTTCTTTTTTAAAAACATGGACTGCTATTTTAGATTTAATAATTCTGGATGATTGTATGCACACACGTGTGTGTGTGTGTGTGTGTGTGTGTCTGTCTGTCTGTCTGTCCATACATCTCTGTAGAGAGGTTAAGTAAGTATGGAAAGACAATACAGAGACTAAATCAGAGCAAAATGTAAAGGTTCCCTTCTAGCACAAGAGTCCTAGCAGACATACAAACTCATGTCATCTATTAACTTAAAGTCCCTTTTCATGCTGAGAATAAGAAAAATAAGTAAAGAGAATATACAATAGCTGTTTACAAAAGAGACTAGGGGAGGATAAACTTTAAGAAAAAGGATCAGGTGAACAATTGGTAAAAATAAAGAAAAGAACAAAGTACTAAATGATTATGGAGAAAATGCTACCTGTAAAATATTGTACTTATCAGAATCATGACAATCTGAATATTTGACTTGTGAATTTTTTAACAAGCCAGGATTTCTTCACTGACTGAGTCTTTTCATCAATGGAAAACTAGGGTTAGAAGCTAGATGTGTGCTATCTTTATCTCTAAGGTTATCTCTAAGTAGTTTTTACGATGCTATTTCTTACTATTCAAAGTCTGTGAGACAAGTGAAAATTCCATTTGGCTTAGAAATAGAATTGCTCCTCAGACTTGAAGTTATTCTAAATATATGAGGCAAATCAGCAGCTGCTAGATTTATAGCAAACTGTTATAAAAACATAAAATGAACACAATGCAAACTCTACTCTTTGATAACTGAAAATTTTATCTTACTGGAAATAGTTTTCTCCTACCATTCTAGAAACTAAGTCAACTACAGGTAGCGAATCAACAAGTTCACAGATCCACAGCAAATTATCCTTCACAAAAAGGATAAAATGTCCAAATAGAAAGTCTAGGTATTATTTGACATGTGAAAATTCTATTTTGTTTTGAAATATAATTTTCCCACTCCCCTAGAACTTACCCTAAATATAAGAGATAAGTCAATAGCTTTAGAGGGCTATAGCAAGGTGTCATATGCCAGGCAAAATGTCCACACAGAAAAACTATTATGTGAGAAGTGAAAATCCCACTTGTGTTAAAATAGAATTTTCCCGCCACACTGGAAGTTAAACATAGGCGGGTAAAGCAACAGCTTGATCAAGACACGGCAAACTCATACAAAAATGGGTAAAATTTTCAAATACAAAGGATAGCTACTACTTGGTAATGCAAACAATGCATACCAACACTTCTTTCTCTTTGCATTGAGCTCTGTGAAAAATCAGTAAAAAACAGTGCACACAGGGGGGAGATACATCTGAGATAATCTAAAATTTACCTGGATATTAAATATCAAGAGTGTTTAAAGTTCTTATCTGCTAATATTTGTTCGGTTGTATTGGTTTTTCAAGTTGTTTTTGGTAACAAAAATATCTAAGTTATCTATTAATGTTGCCTGTTATCTTAAATATTGTTCTATTTCAGTCTGTAAGGAAGTTTTATCCAAACATCTGATTTTGCTTTTTTACTGAGAAAATTATAATTCTAAGCAAAATTAAAAATTTCATACATAGAGAGATACAAAAAAACTCAAGGATACTGACCAAAATTAAAGTTACAAATGCTGAGATCAGACAGAAAACTACTTCGTTTTCTGGTCTGAAATTCTCATGTGTCAGGACTGCTCGTTTAAATTAATCAGAAAATATTAATTTCATACTATTTCTTTTAAAGAAAACTGAGAATTTGATATTATTTGTTGTTCACATGGCTAACTTACCTGCAAAGGAAACAATAGAGGACATTAATTTTATCCTATTTTTAATTTTAAGAAAGTATATATGCAACCCCATAAAAAATTTATTCTTCTGACACCTCTGTACGCATAGAGAAAAGTCTAAAAAAGCAGACTATAGTTTTGCTGGTATCGCTAGCTAGGATGTCTCAGGTGATCTTCATTCTCTGTTCTAAGATTCTCTCTAGAATTCTGGATGAGCAGGAATTATTATGATAAAAACACATACAAAGCCTTTAAAAAATTTCAACCAAAAAATATCCTGATTAAACTTGGAAACAAAAACTCAAACTGGTTCAACCTTTGAAAGACTCAGGGGAGTTTTAAATTTGAATTTTCCTTATTTTTTAATCTATGCTCATTTTAAATCTCACTTTTTATAAAACAAAGATATCACTTAACAAATAGGTGAATTAACTTTGAATTAAAAACACAACTGCTAAATTTCAACCAAAAAATATCCTGATTAAACTTGGAAACAAAAACTCAAACTGGTTCAACCTTTGAAAGACTCAGGGGAGTTTTAAATTTGAATTTTCCTTATTTTTTAATCTATGCTCATTTTAAATCTCACTTTTTATAAAACAAAGATATCACTTAACAAATAGGTGAATTAACTTTGAATTAAAAACACAACTGCTAAGAACATGACAGCGCAGCTATCCCAGAACAGTGACTCTATTAAATAAACATAAAAAATCCTGAAATTAGTCTATCTTACAGAAGACGCTAAACAATCTTAAATTTTAAAAAATGTGATTGTATTCACCCAGCCTCTTAGAAAAAAGTCTTTTGTGGTTGGAAATTTGCACTTCATTCATTCCTGTTTCTGAGGGTCAACACTTTATTTCTAGTAAGTAGACTCCCAGTAAATAGAGTTTTGTGTTTTGCAAGAAAGGCTCGCTTTTTAGCGTGGGGGTCCCTTCTACCTTGTCAAGCACAACGGGTCAAATTCTTATTTTTCCTTTCAGGGAGGAAAAAAAAAAAGAACTGTAGCAATGCTCCCGAAATAGGCTGTTTTAGCCTTGAAAGATGAATGTGTTTCATCTGTGCTTCAGATACCTAACTCAGTTGTAGACAATCTGATCTTCCCTTTTAACTTCAACTTCTTTGACAAAGATTAGCAACAGATTGTCAGATTTTTTTAGCGTCTTTGAGCAGCTTAGGTAAGAATCTGTGTTAAGGATTTACTTAGCATCTTTTCCCATCATCTTTTAGTCCTGTCCCACTGCAAATTTCCCTGATGTTTAATTAAAAAAAAAAAATGCATGTTTATCATAGAACTCAGGCAAATGTTTGGGGCTAATCTCAGCAACCTGCTCCAAAGGTTTAAACGTGCAGTTACTGCGCCCAAACGCATTTATTCACCCTACAAGATTTAGGAAAATGTAACCGTGCAGGGAGAGACCAGGTCTCTGTAAACCATCAAAAGCCGTAGCTGCTGCGAGCCTGCAAAGCCCGCCAAGGACACTGGAAGCATCCACAGATGTTTTCAATTGTTCTCGCTTTCTCCTCATAATGTACTTGGTTGGGCACTGGGTGCTGTTTGCAGCATCTCTGACCCCCAGCCGGGTTGACCCTGACCTGAATGCAGTTCGGCTCCTCGCATTCCATGATTCTGCTTCCCCTGTACGGTAAAAAACTAAGAAAAATCGGGTTTGCGCCACCAGTAAATGCGCTTAGAAAAAAGGGGGGGATTCGGTCTTTTATATGTCACATTTTGGTGGTCTCTGTTGATCAGATTCCAGAAATGGAGAAAAGATCGACATCTTTGTGTAGAAGGGAAGGCAGCTTGCCACCCAAGTTCTTTGGCTCGCATCTAGGCCAAGGCGTCCCAAACATGGGGCAAAGCCCCCCACCCCAAGGGGCAACAACCCCCCCCCCAGGTCTGTGCCACAGGGATCAGGAGAGGTCCACTACCAGGCTGGGATGGGGGGAGGGGTGCAAGAAAAGAAACTGGAGATGAATTCCTGCCCTGCTGGACAGGGAGGGGCCGTGGGGGTGCAGAGAAAGAAAAGGCCAGGGGTCAAGGCTGGAGGACCCACCAGGCCAAGGAAGTGGGGTGCAGGACATCCTGGAAGGAGGGTGCTGTGGGGGGCATGGAGCATCTAGAGGGGCTGGCGCCCTTTGGGCCCACCCCGGTACCCCGGAATCCGAGTGGGGGAGGGGAAGGCGAAGGCGGCGGCTTTTGGGCTCCCAGACCTCCACATCGCGCGCAGGCCACTAACCTGTCAGTAAGAATGTGCCAGTGGTCGCGGGGCTCATCCTGCGTGTCCCCCGACCCTGTCCCGTCCAAGCACAGGGGTCTCCCAGCTCCCACCACCGGGGTAATTGCATTCTTGGCCTGGCTAGGCCGATCGTCCTCGATTCTCCCCTCCCCTCCCTCCCTTTCTTCTTTCCTCCCAGCTTGGCCAGTTCAGCATCAGCATCATGCACCCCCCCTCCCCAGGCCCATGCTCCCCCTAGCGGCGGGCCAGAGCACTGCAGGCTGCACCCCCACCCGCCCGCCCCCGCACCCCCCTCAACCCCCCCTCAGCCCGCAGAGCACGCTGGGATTTGGCGCCCCCCTCCTCAGATCACACTATATAAGGCCCTCAATTCGGGCTCCTGGTACACGCGCCTCAACTTCGGTTGGTGTGTGTCGAAGAATCCCGACTACAACCCGAGGAGAGCAGCGGAGAAGGTCCACCGAGCCTCGCCGAGGTCCGCTGTGCGGGCTCGGGTCCGGAGCCACTCCGGGCTGCGAGCACCCAGTGGACCCGCGCCTGGCCAGGTGTGGGACCGGCCTGCCGTCTCTGCAGAGGGTCCTCGTGTGGTGAGTATGCGGTGAGGACTTTTTTTTTTAAAACAAAACCCGACCACACGCATTATCCCGTTTTGGGGGATAGTGGGAGATGAAGTAGCGCCCCCAGACATCTCCACTCGAATCTCGTCTCGCCTTCAGTGGCTGTACCCCGAGACAAGCGTGGAAAGCAAGCCTTCATGGCTTCGGATTCCACGACTCCGGTCGAGAAACGGGCTGTAGACGCATGAGCTGCGGACAGTGATGAGCTGCAGACGCACATGAGCTACAAACCGACTTGCGAATCAGCTCCTCGAAGGCGCTACCAAGTGGTGCGCGGCAACTCTCAGCGCTTTGATGCGCTACAAGCGGATAAGCGCTTCACTTGCGCTGCGAACTGGCGCTACTTGCGCCGCAATGTACTAATGGGCGCTTCATGCGCCACGATGTACTAATGGGCGCTTCATGCGCCACAATGTACTAATGGGCGCTTCATGCGCCACGATGTACTAATGGGCGCTTCATGCTCTGTGAGGTACTTAGTAATTGGCGCTACAAAGCTGGGAACTGCAATGATGCTATTACGCGCTTTCATAGCGCTACAAATTCGGAACCGCAGATTAGCCAAAGCGCAAAGAAAAAATATTACAACATTGCGTGTCAAGGCGATGAACGGCGGAATCGGAATCAAAGGAGCAGTTGATACCTGAAATGTGCTCCAAAGTGGTAACTGCTGCAGGGATCTGCAGACGGTTTTGCGCACGCATAAAGCAGCCGTGGAAGGGGGGAGGGCCTGAGTGAGTACAACTGCCGTGTGGTCTTGGGGGGGGAACCCCACCCTTGCTCCCTTTGGAATGGTATGGTTCCCACTGTTTTCTTGCAGGACGGCTCGTGCTTGGTGCGGGTGTTAGACAAAATGGAGCCCCGGGCAAAAATGAGTACTTAACACTCTGCCCACAGCATTCCTGCTTATGGCTATGGAGTGAGGGGCGCTGACTTGGAGATGGCAGACGGCCTGCCTTGTCTGCTCGGGATTGATGAAATGGCTGTACAGTTGTTGTGCTGGTGCGAATTGGCGCCCAGCAACAGTTTGTGGACTGTCTGGTTTGCTGGGTATGGGGGGGGTGGGGCTGCGCCTGCAGCATGGAATGATCTGGTTGTTTGGAGAACGGTGGGAGGGGGTTGGGGAGGGGAGGGGGCTGAGGGAGGCTTGCAGATACTCTGCAGCCTGTAGCAGCCAGTCTCAGACATGCCCCGCCCATCCTCACGTGCCTTCTCTGCAGTGTCTACTCAGAGCGCGCCTTGCGCCCTGCGCCTTGCAGTGCCTCTCTGTTCTAGAATATGCTTCCACAGGCCCCGCCTCCCGGCACGACTCCATAGTCTGCCTACTCTAGCCCCCGCCTCCCTGCTGTCGGCTCCTCCCAGAGCCCGCCTCCTCTGCGGTGACTCCTCAGAACCCGCCTCCCTGCTGTCGGCTCCTCCCAGAGCCCGCCTCCGCTGAGGTGGCCACCCCGTACCCCGCCTCCCATCTGTCGGCTCCTCCCAGAGCCCGCCTCCTCTGAGGCGACTCCCCAGACCCCGCCTCCTTGCTGTCGACTCCTCCCAGAGCCCGCCTCCTCTGAGGCGACTCCCCAGACCCCGCCTCCTTGCTGTCGACCCCTCCCAGAGCCCGCCTCCTCTGAGGTGGCTCATAGCCCCGCCTTCCCCCAAAAGCCTGCCCGCGCCTGCGCAGTGTGGGCCCCCACCCCTCCCTCGTTCCTGTCTTCATTGCGCATGTGCGCCTTGCCTGCTTGGCCTGAGCCTGGCTGTACAGCCCCGCCTCCCTGCGGTTTCTGTGTTGCGCAGTTTTGATTTTTGTCCACAGGTGTCTAATAAATATAAGAATAAATATGAATAAGAACAATTAATAAGAATAAGAACAATTAACAACAATCCTAATTAAAATTGATACCCAAAGCACTTTTAATAAGTGCTATGGATTATTAAAAGACGTGATCCCACAATTTAAACTCTTGATAGTGGGATATGGGAACCTTTAAGCTGATATGGCTGATGCCTGGAGGCAGTTTAGCCAATTAATTTTAAATTAAAAATTAAATTACTTTTTTCCTTGACACCCCTGGTCTTCTTGAATTGGATGCTTTGGTGAATATAAGACTTGAGCTGTGTTTCATAGAAGTTCTGAGTGGCATTGGTGCTGTTTGACTTGGCCTCTGAGGGAGGAGGCATTTGTGAGCATAGGACATGTTTTTTTCCTCTTGAAAATTCTAGGTGATTAGCTCTGGCTGACCTGCCTACATATAATATACTGTGCCTGGCACATGGTAGACATTCATTAAATACGTGTTAAATAGCCAGAGTGAATTATTCATTGTTTTGTTGTTGGCTTTTAGGTCTTTTCTGGTTTCTTGGTCTTGTTTCCTGTAGTGCTTTGCTGTCCTGAATTGAGTTGCTGCCCTTTGTCTCTCATAGCTAAAAGTTTTTTTTTTAAGTTTATGTTTTTGAACTCCAGTAATATAAGCTGTAATTATAACATAAAACAATTAAATTATATTCCAAATGATTAGCTTTTTTCATAAAAAGCTAATTATTTGTTTTACCAAGTAATTAGCTTTTTTCATAAAAAGCTAATTATTTGTTTTTCCAAGTAATTAGCTTTTTTCATAAAAAGCTAATTATTTGCTGTCCCATGTAATTAGCTTTTTTCATAAAAAGCTAATTTAAATTTGGGGCAAGTGGGTTATTAATGCTATATTTTGGCATTTAAAATTTGTGTAATGTAACAGTGGTTACGTTGCAGGACATAGATTGTTTCAGCTGGCTTAATCAAACATCTGTGTAATTTACAGATGCATCATATAGAAATGCTTCTGAGTTAATGAAGAAATTTAAAAAGCTGGTTCTATATATTACAAACTATGAGCCAGGATTTTATTAAGGGGAGAAATGGGGGCTTTTGCTCCCCCAAGCTCTCACCCTCCTAACCCCCCTCCCTCAAACTATGCTACCTACCTATGGGAAATACGTGCTTATAATTACAGCTTAGCATATTAAAGAGGCCAAAAGAATGGTAGCAAATATATGCAAATTTAAATTTGCATTTCTCATAATCCACATAGTACTAAAAAAACTGGGCATTGGAAAATTTAAAACAACAAAGAGTTGTTTAATTGTTCCATTTCCTGAGACAGTTATATGTGATTTTATTATTATTATTATTATTGCTCTTTGATGTATTGAGGAAATAAAAAGGTTTCTAGAACTCATTATAAAGAGTCACTAATCAAAAGTGCTTATTTCCAAGTAGACTAAAACTTAAGGAAGCTTGGCATTATGCAGCTTGACCTCCCAGTTTGCAGGAATGGGAGCTCTTGACACCCCCTCCCCTGCCCCCCTTAAAGGGGAATTTGAGGAGTTGGAGTTTTTAAATCAAGTCAAAACACTCCCTGCCTCATATTAACTTGTGCTGAGTCCCACCTCAAAACTGTAAGCCCCTCCTCACAATGGTGAGCCTGAAGCCTGACAGTGGTGAAGGTCACAGGCTAAATAAAGCCTTCAATTTGTTTAGACAGCACTGTATTAACAACATACAAAACAAACAGACCCTGAATGTCTTGGGATGGGAGGGGGCACACACCTCCAAGCTACCTGGATGTGGCCCCTCCCAAAATACCTTGACTCTTGTCTCACTTTAAATTATCTCAGTAATATTTTGTTAACCCAAACAAGGTATTAATTGCTTACTGATTTCATAATCAGTGGTTTCTGTCCCTCCATTGTTTTTTTATCGGAGTTTGAGGCTTCCAAAAAGCTTACCCCAGCAGGTAGTGTACCTTCCTGACCTGGGTCAGGCTGCACTAGGCCATGCTGAGACCACCTTGAGGAAGTCTTGTCTCTAATTTGAAAGTGTTTCTGTCCAAATGACAGAAGTCTCACTTAAGTCACCTGACCAGTGCTTATTAATTGTTTTTTAATGGTGCATTAAAATAATTTAATAATTGAAAATTGCATTGGTATGACTTCAAAGAGTTGGAAGTGAAAATGTCACAGGTCATGGTGTGTTTATGATGGCTTCTAATTATTTTTCCAAGCTTGAATATTGCCTTGTTACTAGTTATTAATGATTTTTGGTAGCCCAAGTTATTAAAGTAATTAAGTAGTGATGTTTAAACTTTTAAAATGGCACACTAATCCTTGTCTCTTAAGGACCTTGCTTGCTCTACTCCTTGGAGAGGCCACAGGAACAACATGGGACCAAGGGAAAATGGACATCAGTGCTGAGCTGTGACAAGGGGAGGGGCCTGAAGGATGGGAAGGGGTTGGGTGGGGGGGGGTGGGGCAGGACAATGGGACAATAACAGCCTCCCTCTGTTTTATTATACCCATCAATAACTTTTTAAATTAGCAAATGTTTGTCTTTTTTACTTTCTGTAATTCAATTAGTATTCATTTTGCCTTAATTGATCAGAGAAAAACAACTTATTTTAAAGCTTTTGTTCAAAAGTTTTTACACTTTCATAGCTCTGAACTTTTGTTGAACTTTTTAAATTAAAAGTTTGTAACTTTTAAAAAGTTTCAAACTTTTTGAAAGTTAGAACTTTCAAATACAGAACTTTAAAAACTTCTTGAAAGTTTTAGAACTTTCAAAAACAGAACTTTAGAAACTTCTTGAAAGTTTCAAAACTTTTAAAAAACAACTTTAGAAACTTCTTGAAAGTTTTAGAACTTTCAAAAAACAACTTTTAAAACTTTCTAAAGTTTTAGGCTTTAAGCTTTAGAGTTTTTTTTTTTTTGTAAGTTTAAACTTTTAAAAAGTTTAAGTTTTAAGAAACTTTGTTAAACTTTTAAAAAGTTTAGTAGACTTAATTTTAAAAGTTTTTAAAACTTTAATATATTTTTACTGATTTTAACAATTTGAGACTTGAAATATTTACAAATATAAAATTACTAATCACTCTAATTGCATTTACCCCTGTTTTAGGAAGTAGATAGGCACACATACCCTGTTATGATTGTCATTACACTCATAATGAGAACACTTAACCCTTCCCTCACCTCCACACATATCCTACTCACCATTTAAGAGTACAGTCCTAGCCTACCTTAACATTACAAGCCTTTGGGTGGCGCTGTACCCACAAATCTCAATTAAAAACTAAGGGTTACACATTGATGGCATGTAGAACAAAGAAAGTTCTCTGACGAATAAAGGAATTTTTAAGTATCTTTAAATTCATGATGCCCAGGTGGCTATAGTTACAGCCCCTCCCCACTTATACAGAAAGTTACCTTTCTGTTTCCTAATTAATAACCTTATTAATCATCAGTTAACAGTTATTGTCATTCACTGGTTTATCCATATTATTTGATTAAATCATAATAAATTTGAATTATACTATTATTGGGTGTCTTATGTCCCATTGTAAAGCCCATCCCTTCTAAGACATCAATTAATATTTACTTAATGAGTGCATAATAGGGTAAACTGACATCTACATGAGCTCTTCAGTGCTGTTTCTGTCCCATAGGGAATTCTCTTGGGGAAGTTAACTTATGGTTACAAAAGCAATTAAACAATCTTGTGGCTTTTGTGATGGTGGTGGTTGTTTGATTTAGTATTTAATTAACTTCAGTGAAGAGGTCCCCTTTGGGGTGTGACATTCTCCAAAGTATACTTTCTTTGGGGGGGGGGGTTGATGAATATAAGTATTGTAATTATAATACCCCCCTCTTTTTTGTGTGTGGTTTTTTTTAGTGATTGGAATATTAGTTTTTGCCTAATTTCCTTAACAGCAACAGTTGTGGTGTTGATTATTTTGCATAATTTAGGAGTTGTTTTGCATAATTTATTTGGTGTCCCTCTTTGCCAACTTCAAAAAGTTTCTTGCTCTCTGACTGCCATTCAAAACTACTTGTTTGCCATTGTCAGCTTTCTTTTATAGTTTGTTAATGTGAGTGTACACTGAATTCTAATGAGCAGGTGACTTTTAGGAGGAAAAGGTCATTTGGACATCAAGAAGTAGCATGCTTTTCATTATGTTGTGATTGATTACTTCATTCTCTTTTGAGGGTGTGTGTCCTGTTTACTAATTATCAGTTAATGAAGAGCCAGGGGATACTTGAAATATCCAGTCATGATTAGTATTGTGATGCTTTGAATGTATACGCATATGTTGAATGTATGCTTTTGTCTTTCTTTACAGGAACAAGCGGGTTTTGAAAACCAAGAGAAGGCGGGGAGCAAGAGGGGGCCAGGATCCAGGCCTCCCTCCCCAGAGGAGTGAAGCCACACCCGGGAGGTCCCCTCCCACCCCAATAGCTGCCATGGGCCCTGACGACTGCCCACCTCCTCCTCCCCCCCCTCCCCCCAACAACAACAACAACAACAACAAACCCAATGGCCACCAGAACCCCTGCGTGCCCAACATGACCGAACGCCGCCGGGATGAGCTCTCTGAAGAGATCAACAACCTCAGAGAGAAGGTCATCCGACAGTCTGAGGAGAACAACAACCTTCAGGACCAAGTGCAGAAACTCACTGAAGAGAACAGCACTCTCCGTGAACAGGTCGAAGAGGTCGAAGAGGTCGAAGAGGTCGAAGAGTTTGAAGAGCTCGAAGAGCTCGTGGAACAGGTTGAAGTGGAGGTGGAAGAAGTAGAACCCGAACCAGTCCCTGAGGATAATGAAGATGACATTGAGCTCCAAGGTGCTGCAGCGGCTGCTGCCCCAGCTGCTCCCATCGAAGAAGAAGAGTGTCCTGAAGACCTTCCTGAGAAATTTGATGGCAACCCAGATATGCTGGCTCCTTTCATGTCCCAGTGCCAAGTCTTCATGGAGAGGAGCAACCGCGATTTCTCTGTTGACCGTGTACGTGTCTGCTTCGTGACAAGCATGATGACCGGCCGTGCTGCCCGCTGGGCCTCTGCCAAGCTGGAACGATCCAATTACCTGATGCACAACTACCCAGCCTTCATGATGGAGATGAAGCATGTCTTTGAAGACCCTCAGAGGCGTGAGGCTGCCAAACGCAAGATTAGACGTCTGCGCCAGGGCCTGGGGTCTGTTGTCGACTACTCCAACGCCTTCCAGATGATTGCCCAGGACCTGGATTGGAACGAGCCTGCTCTGATTGACCAGTACCACGAGGGCCTCAGCGACCAGATTCAGGAGGAGCTGTCCCGCCATGAGGCACCCAAGACCCTGTCTGCTCTCATCAGCCAGTGCATCCACATTGAGAGAAGGCTGGCCCGTGCTGCTGCTGCTCGCAAGCCCCGCTCCCCACCCCGGGCGATGGTGATGCCCCAGAACCATCATCAGGTGGATCCCACCGAGCCTGTGGGAGGTGCCCGCATGCGCCTGACCCAGGAAGAAAAAGAAAGACGCCGCAAGCTGAACTTGTGCCTCTACTGTGGAAACGGAGGTCACTACGCCGACAACTGTCCTGCCAAGGCCTCAAAATCCTCACCGGCGGGAAACTCCCCGGCCCCGCTGTAGAGGGACCTTCAGCGACCGGGCCAGAAAGAATAAGGTCCCCACATGATGATACTTCAACTCCGCACCTGCAAGTGATGCTCCAGATCCATATCCCGGGCCGACACACCCTGTTCGTCCGAGCTATGATCGATTCTGGTGCTTCTGGCAACTTCATCGACCAGGAATATGTCATCCAGAATGCAATTCCTGTGAGAGTCAAAGAATGGCCAATCATGGTGGAAGCGATTGACGGGCGCCCCATCGCCTCCGGCCCAATCGTCCACGAAACACACAACCTGATAGTTGACCTCGGAGATCATCGTGAGGTGCTGTCATTTGATGTGACTCAGTCTCCGTTCTTTCCGATCGTCCTGGGAGTCCGCTGGCTGAGCACTCATGACCCCCACATCACCTGGAGCACTCGATCGATCGTCTTCAATTCCGATTACTGCCGATTCCGCTGCCGGATGTTCTGCACAATACCTCCCTCTCTACCACCACATCCTCCATTCTACTACCCAGTGGATGGATACAGAGTGTACCAACCTGTGAGGTATTTCTATGTCCAGAATGTGTACACACCCGTGGATGAGCACGTCTACCCGGATCACCGGCTGGTCGATCCTCACATCGAGATGATACCTGGAGCACACAGCATTCCCAGTGGACATGTGTACTCACTGTCTGAATCTGAAATGGCTGCCCTGCGAGATTTCGTGGCAAGGAGCGTGAAGGATGGGCTGATCACCCCTACCATCGCCCCCAATGGAGCCCAGATCCTGCAAGTAAAGAGAGGATGGAAACTTCAAGTTTCTTATGCTTGTCGAGCTCCACACAACTGCACCATCCAGAATCAGTACCCTCGCCTGTCTATTCCAAACTTGGACGACCAGACACACCTGGCAACCTACGCCGAATTTGTCCCTCAACTTCCTGGATACCAGTCCTACCCTGCGTATGCCACCTACCCAACCTACCCCGTGGGATTTGCGTGGTACCCAGTAGGACGAGATGGCCAAGGAAGATCTCTCTACGTACCTGTCATGATCACCTGGAATCCACATTGGTACCGCCAGCCTCCGGTACCCCAGTATCCACCACCGCAGCCACCCCCACCCCCACCCCCACCCCCAGTGCCTACTCAAGCTGAGAAATGCCTCTGGATACATAGGGATAAGGCCAACAGTAAAAATGTTCTAGCACTGAGACTACAATAGCCCTCACTGTCATTAAATTCCTGACAAAGTCTACATGTTCTGTTCAACCCAGGTGGGGGGCAAATGAAGTTCC